TCGCAAGCATTGCTCTTTTCAAATTGTTTCTCGGTTATGAGTAAGATTGACTACCTTGTGAGTTGTGATTTGGGAGTGAGAGCAATTCAATGTGGAAAAAAAATCTTTCTAGAAAAATAGACTGTGGGGACATCATTAGGATTGGCGATGAAAACGAATGTACTAGGAAAGTTCTTTAAGGAAGATTTTGGGTGAAAAAAGTTGGCGATGGGCGTAAAATCAGCTTCTAGAAGGATAACTGGAGTGGTTTACAGCCATCAAAATGTCATCTCCCAAGACCAACGAGGGGTTGGATCAAGTGGTAAGCGGCTTGTTTCAACTTAAGCAAGGTCTCGAGTTCGAGTTCTTGTGTACGCAGCAGCTCCACTGGGAGACTTACCACCATTTTCAGGTGCGCGACGCGGGTCGGGTCCGGATTAGTCGGGGCGAAGCCTCGGATACCGAGCGAGAAACCAAAAAAAAAAATGTCATCTCCCAAGGCTTTACAAACTCTGTATTTTCAGGAATCTCTTGGTGGCGGAAGAAGGCTTTTGGACCAGTGGTAATCTTCTTTTAATAGAAGTATTAAATTTTAAATTTGAATCATATGTATAATATATAGGAGAGATAAATTAAAAAATAAGAAAAAAATATTTCTCATTATGTGAATTCAAAATAGAAAAGCAAAGTTATGTAACGTTATTGTAAATAATGCGACAGGAGAGAAATCATTACAAAAATAGGCTTAAAGGACGCAATGTCTACTGTAGAAAAACTTGATTAATTCCAATTTCATGTGAACTGGCGAGCGTGATTTCCTTGTTCATGGGTTAAGAAAAACAGAAAAAGGCATTTGGATATTTATTGGAAGGGACTTCACCGAATAAGTGTCCTTCTCTGCATGATGACCTACGTCTTATGGTATCTGATCGATCATGACAGAATTTTTTATTGCGTGGGTACAAGGGAAGTCGACATTGACAATTTTAAGAAGACTCGGAACTTTGTTTTAACACATAAGTGAAACTTACTTAGCGTCACATATTTTTAACTACATATTAATAAGAGGTAAGTTTTTTTGTGTTAAAGTATTTTTTTTTCTTTGAAAGATATTATGTAGACTGAATCATTTAA